AGTTATGGGGTCTCTCTCCTGTGTGGATTCTCTGATGTATAACAAGGGCTGATCGCTGGGTGAAACTTTTCCCACAGTCCAAGCATTTATTGGGTCTCTCTCCAGTGTGGATTGTCTGATGGGTACTAAGGGATGACTTCTGACTGAAACACTTCCCACAATCGAGGCATTTATAAGGTCTCTCTCCTGTGTGCATTCTCCGATGTTTAGTAAGGTAGGAGTTGTTCTTGAAGCTTTTCCCACAGTCCAAGCATACGTAAGGCTTCTCTCCTGTGTGAATTCTCTGATGCACAATCAGGTCGGAACTGAGAACAAAACTTTTCCCACAGAGGAGGCATTTATAGGGACTGTCTCCCGTGTGAATTGTCCGATGTTTAGTGAGGTAGGAGCTGTTCTTGAAGCTTTTCCCACATTCCAAGCATTTATAGGGCTTCTCTCCTGTGTGGATCGTCTGATGGGAAATAAGGTTTGTTCTCTGAATGAAACTTTTCCCACAGTGGAGGCATTTATGAGGTTTATTCCCAGTATGAATTCTCAGATGTCGAAGAAGGTGTGAGCGCTGAATGAAACTTTTCCCACAGTCGAGGCACTTATAGGGTCTCTCTCCTGTGTGGATTGTCTGATGTGTACTCAGGGCTGACCTCTGTGTGAAACTTTTCCCACAGTCCAAGCACTTATGGGGTTTCTCTCCTGTGTGGGTTTTCTGATGCATAATGAGGGTGGTCTTCTGACTGAAACAGTTCCCACACTCGAGGCATTTATAGGGTCGGTCTCCCATGTGGATTCTTCGATGTTTAGTAAGATTTGAGCTGTTACTGAAGCTTTTCCCACACTCCAAGCACTTATGGGGTCTCTCACCCATGTGGGTTGCCTGATGTGTAATAAGTGCTGACGTCCAATGAAAACATTTCCCACACTCAAGGCATTGATAGCGTCTCTCTCCCGTGTCGATTCTCCCATGGGTATTAAAGTCTGAGCTGTTATGGATTGTTTGATGTGTAACAAGCTGTGATCTCAGAATGAATCCTTTCCCACACTGGAGGCAGTGGTAGGATTTCTCTTCCTTGGGATTTGTCTGCTGGGCTGTGGGATCCTTGTTTCCTCCCCTATAGATAATAGATTCATCCACTTTCTTCCTCGGGCGGTTTCCCATCAGCCTTTCTGACCTGTGCCAATTTCCCCAGGCTTCTCCCTCTTCCAAGCACTGGGAAAAATTCCCTTCAGCTCTTCCCACAAAGGTCCCCTGTGGTTCCACTTCCTCATGATGATTCCCCTCCTCGTTCTCACTCCCTCGCTCAGCACCTGCTGGGAGAGAGAGACAATCCAGACAAGAGTCATTGTGCTGGGGAGAAAGAGGAATAGCACAGAGGGAAAACCCAACACACTAACGCTGTGAAGACTGAGCAATTGGATTCTGCCTCCACATCCCACCCAAACATTCACAGGGAAGAAAAGTTGGGAAGGAAACTCCTGCAGCTAACAGGACGGGTGGAAAGCCGTAAGTGATATCTGCCGACTACAGCCCTGCCCTGGGTGAGATAAGGAAGAACTGAGGGCACTTGCTCACACCACATTTTTGGGATTCTCAACTTCTTCCTTCATTCACCAGATGGTTTCTGTGTCAGGCCTCACCTGTGCGGGTGCCTCTCAGGATCTCTCTTTCCTTGCAGGCCTGGAGATCCGGGACCCACGGCTCTTCCCCTCGTTCCAGCTGGGCGATCAGCTCAGGTTTGGGAATGGGAAATCCTGCGCAGGGGATGAAATCAGACCAGATCAGGGTGCATGGAGGATTGAGAGCGTCTGTCATAAAGGGCATTCTGTGAGCTGAACCTGTGGCTGTGCAGGGGGATTGTGCAATTCAAGAGGATGGGAACATGGTCACAGAGCCCCCTTGGGAGAGGCAGAAATCTGGGGAGAATTGCGACGCCCTCAGTAGGAATTTCCAGGATCTGTGCACTCTGGGGGCCTTGCTGACGCACACCCAGCTCTAATGTTAAACCCCTTTCTATTTCTAAACCTGCAGAGCCCAGAGCCCTCCCCATGGCTGGAGCTAGTCCCAAGGAGGGAGGTGACCAGGGATTCTGTGTGCGAATGAGAAACAACACAGACAGGACAATACATGGCTTCTCCCCTTTGAAAGCTGGAGGGGTGGGGATGGTTTAGCACAGAGGTGGGCAAACTACGGCCCACGGGCTACACCCGGCCCACGGGACCCTCCTGCCCGGCCCCTGAGCTCCTGGCCTGGGAGGCTGGCCCGCGGCCCCTCCCCTGCTGTTCCCTCTCCCCCTAAGCCTCAGCTCACTGTGCCGCGGGCGCAATGCTCTAGGCGGCGGGGCTGCGAGCTCTTGATGGCAGCGCAGCTGCAGGGCCGGGGCCTGACCCGGTGCCCTGTGCTGCGCGGTGGTGTGGCTGGCTCCAGTCGGGCGGCACGGCTACCTGTCCTGGTGCTCCAGGCAGCATGGTAAGGGGGCAGGGAGTGGGGAGGTTGGATAGAGGGCAGGGGAGTTTGGGGTGGTGATCAGGGGGTGGGGATGTGGATAGGGGTCAGGGCAGTCAGAGGGCGGGGAACAGGGGGGTTGAATGGGGGCAGGCGTCCCGGGGTGGGGGGCAGTCAGGAATGAGAGGAGGGGTTGGATGGGGCGGCAGGGAGCAGTCAGGGGACAGGGAGGGGTGGATGGGGTAGGGGTCCTGGTGGGGGGCCATAAGAGGACAGGGAACAGGGCAGGTTGGATGGGGCAGGAGTCCCTGGGGGGCCATCAGGGGGCGAGAAGCGGGAGGGGGTCGGATGGGGGTGGGGCTTGGGGAGGCACAGCCTCCCCTAACCAGCCTTCCATACAATTTCGGAAACCCGATGTGGCCCTCAGGTCAAAAAGTTTGCCCACCTCTGGTTTAGCTGGTCCATTAGGCTGGTTCCATTGGAGGGGGTATGGAGATGCAAGTCTCTCTCACACGGCAACTGTGCATTATAGACCCCAATCCCCTCCATAGAGTCATAGACTTTAAGGTCAGAAGGGACCATTATGATCATCTAGTCTGACCTCCTGCACAACGCAGGCCACAGAATCTCACCCACCCCCTCCTGTAACAAACCCCTAACCTATGTCTGAGCTACTGAAGTCCTCAAATCATGGTTTAAAGACTTCAAGGTGCAGAGAATCTTCCAGCAAGTGACCCGTGCCCCTTGCTGCAGAGGAAGATGAAAAACCTCCAGGGCCTCTGCCAATCTGCCCTGGAGGAAAATTCCTTCCCGACCCCAAATATGGCGATCAGTTAAACCCTGAGCATGTGGGTAAGACTCACCAGCCAGACACCCAGGAAAGAATTCTCTGTAGTAACTCAGATCCCACCCCATCTAACATCCCATCACAGACCATTGGGCATATTTACCGCTAATAGTCAAACACCAATTAATTGCCAAAATTAGAGTATCCCATCATATATCCCTCCATAACCTTATCAAGCTTAGTCTTGAAGCCAGATATGGCTTTTGCCCCCACTGCTCCCCTTGGAAGGCTGTTCCAGAACTTCACTCCTCTGATGGTTAGAAACCTTCATCTAATATCAAGTCTAAACTTCCTGATGGCCAGTTTATATCCATTTGTTCTTGTGTCCACATTGGTACTGAGCTTAAATAATTCCTCTCCTTCCTGGTATTTATCCTTCCGATATATTTATAGAGAGCAATCATATCTCCCCTCAGCCTTCTTTTGCTTAGGCTAAACAAGCCAAGCTCTTTGAGTCTCCTTTCATAAGACAGGTTTTCCATTCCTCGGATCATCCTAGTAGCCCTTCTCTGTACCTGTTCCAGTTTGAATTCATCCTTCTTAAACATGGGAGACCAAAACTGCACACAGCATTCCAGATGAGGTCTCACCAGTGCCTTGTATAATGGTACTAACACCTCCTTATCTCTACTGGAAATATCTCGCCCGATGCATCCCAAGACCGCATTAGCTTTTTTCACGGCCATATCACATTGGCGGCTCATAGTCTTCCCGTGATCAACCAATACTCTGAGGTCTTTCTCCTCCTCTGTTACTTCCAACTGATGAGTCCCCAGTTTATAACAAAAATTCTTGTTATTAATCCCTAAATGCATGACCCTGCACTTTTCACTATTAAATTTCACCCTATTACTATTACTCCAGTTTACAAGGTTATCCAGATCTTCCTGTATGATATCCCGGTCCTTCTCGGTATTGGCAATACCTCCCAGCTTCGTGTCATCCGCAAACTTTATTAGCACACTCCCACAGTTTGTGCCAAGGTCAGTAATAAAAAGATTAAATAAGATTGGTCCCAAAACCGATCCCTGAGGAACTCCACTAGTAACCTCCCTCCAGCCTGACAGTTCACCTTTCAGTATGACCCGTTGTAGTCTCCCCTTTAACCAGTTCCTTATCCACCTTTCAATTTTCATATTGATCCCTATCTTTTCCAATTTAACTAATAATTCCCCATGTGGAACCGTATCAAATGTCTTACTGAAATCGAGGTAAATTAGATCCACCGCGTTTCCTTTGTCTAAAAAGTCTGTTACCTTCTCAAAGAAGGAGATTAGGTTGGTTTGGCACAATCTACCTTTTGTAAAACTATGCTGTATTTTGTCCCAATTACCGTTGACCTCGATGTCCCTAACTACTTTCTCCTTCAAAATTTTTTCCAAGACCTTGCATACTACAGATGTCAAACTAACAGGCCTGTAGTTACCCGGATCATGTTTTTTTCCTTTCTTAAAAATAGGAACTATGTTAGCAATTCTCCAGGCATACGGTACAACCCCTGAGTTTACAGATTCATTAAAAATTCTTGCTAATGGGCTTGCAATTTCATGTGCCAGTTCCTTTAATATTCTTGGATGAAGATTATCTGGGCCCCCTGATTTAGTCCCATTAAGCTGTTCGAGTTTGGCTTCCCTCACTGACTATGGAAGAACCTGTGTAGATTCAGAAATGCAGATCCTGCATCTTCTAATAACCGAGGGGACGGGAATCGCTTACCCAGCGAGGTCACCGTCTCGTAATTCTCCTGCATGACGTCCCTGTAGAGGGCTCTTTGAGCAGGGTCCAGCAGAGCCCCCTGCCCCTGGGTGAAATACACAGCCACCTCCTCGAAGGTCACCAGCCCCTGTAACAACAAAGACCAGAGATACAGAATCCCACCCCCATCCTCAGAGCAGCCAGGAGGCTTCAGGGGGTGGGGCGAAGGTGAGAGCTCCTTGTCCCCCCCAGAAGATGGAGGTGGGCAGGGTCTTCTCATTTACCATACACCTGCCAGCCACAGGCTGATGAGCAGGGAACAGGAATCCCAACAGCTTCCCTTGGTATTTCACAGCTGCCTCTGGCCAGTGGGTTCAGGCTCCAGCACTGGGAGTCTGGTCAGTTTTCCCAGCCCTGCCCAGGGGGGCGTTTCCTGGTTCAGGAAAGATGGAATGTCCCCCGTCCCCCTCCCAATAATGGGCCTGTTCAGAAAATCAGGTCCCAGGTTGAACTTGTCAGGGCAGGTTTATCACACCCTGTCCCCTCCCTGCTGCCCCGTGTGTTTCCTGCCCCTCCTCATCTCTAGCAAACCCCCCTCCCCAGCAGCTCCCTGAAAATCCCCTACCTGAGCTGGCTCCATCACAGCCATTTCTTTTCCCCGTCTCCCGGAAGATGGGCCGATCTGAAGCAAAATCAGGATGTGATTCTTCAGCCTGTCGGGGCGAGAGGGGTGATTGGGGAGGTTTCAGAAGGGGCTTGAGTCCATTTCACACCCCGATTCCCCCCAGGCTCTCTCCCTGCAGACAGACGCTCTGGACTCTGCCACACTGGGAAGAAACCCAGTTAGTTTATTACCATCCAGGCCAGGCCCCTCCCAGCAGAACTAAATCTACTGGGGACACTTTTAAACTCTCCCCATAATAGCATCTCTGAGCTGAATGCTGGAAAAAGAGCAGAATCAAAGGAGCCACTTTTGGGGATCCCCCTGACATTGGCCCCAAGGGCAGCACGTCCCCCCAGCAGCGCAGGAACTTGGCTGGGACAGGAACTGGCTTTTGCTCTGTCAGCTCCTCCCCTTGTTCCCAGGAGAGTCAGTCTGCCCAGGGGGTGCAGGGAATGGATCCGGGCAGGGCTCGGAGTTGGGAACCTCCCTCCCCACTTTCTGCTCCTGCTGCCCCTTTCAGTCTGGTCACTCTCTGTTTCTATCACCTTCCCTCTCTCCCCTTCCCTCTGCCCTGGAGAACTGATTACTGTCCTGTTCCCATGGGCATTTGCTCTCATTAGATCAGCGGCTGCCACTGCTCACAGGAGTGTGAGTTGGGGTGTGTCTGTGAGGGCAGCAGCTCTGGGACTCAAAGACACCAGGGAGCAGAGATGGGGCAAGGAGGGAGCGCTTGTGCGGTCACTTTACTGCCCGGCCCCAGCCGGGTCTCTCCCCATCACCTGCAGGCTCCGGCTCAGGGGCTGGTGTCGGCAGAGCCCAGGGCTGCCCTAAGGGGGCTGCTTCCAGCCACTGGAGCCTGTCCCTACCTGGGCTGGGCACAGAGAGGGCTTTAATGAAGGTCTCACCCCACCACAGTCAGGGCTGGCTCCAGGCACCAGCCGAGCAAGCTGGTGCTTGGGGCGGCAGATTCTACGGGGCGGCATGCCGCCCAATCCTAGGGTGGCACGGCCGCTTTTTTTTTGTTCGCCGATCCGGCCGCCCTGTAGGGAGCGGTGGCGAGGAAGAAGGGAGCGCCCTGCTGGGAGCAGGCTGCGCATCCGTCTGCCCCAGCCAGTGCCAGGTCTGTAGCAAGCCCAGCAGGGCAGCCCGCGTCCTTCCCTCCCCGCCGACCAGAGCGGCACGGAGCCCTCCCGGCAGGCGGCGCGGCGGTCGGGGCTGCGTGGCAGCGCCCCACCGAAACCCTGGCCGCCCCCTTCTCTCTCTCCCCTCCGCTCCCTCCTCCTCCCCTCCACTAGCCGGAGCACGTCTGCAGCGCAGGGAGTCCCCCTGCACCCTGGTTCCAGCCACCTCACAGGTTTTTGTTTTTTTCCCCCTGCTTTGCCGCTCCGGCCACGCCGCAGGGGCGGCAAAAAAGCCAGAGCCGGCCCTGACCACAGTCCCCACTGCAGGAGCAGCAGCTGCTCAGCCCGGGCTTCCAGACCAAACTGGAGAAGGAAGCAGCATCTGACCAGGGAGCTTAACTCCAGGGCTCTAATATCAGGGGCAGAGAGACACACACCCGCCTCCTCCTCTCCCTTAGCCAGAACCGGAGCCCTCTGGTGGCAGCAGCTAATAACTGAGCCTCCCTGTCCTGTCCCTGCAGCCCCCAGGGACAGGCAGGGGCTGATCCCATTGGCCCATCCGCACTCACCTTCCCTGCCAGAGCCAGCAGTGACTCCGGTCTGACTCCTGTGTGGCTGAGATCTGGATCCTGCCCGGAAATCAGACCAGGGTCCTTGTCAACCCTGTCGTGTACAAGCCAGAAGGAAAGGGGGGGTTATTTCTCCATCAATCTCTTTCCATTGTCAGCCAGGTCACAGACGTACTATAGTGAACAAACACGTAATGCACACAAAACACTGTGAATGGTGTAACGCATTCTGGACAGTCTTTGGAATACTTAGGAATTCCTCGTAAACACAGAAAATCTGTCTTTGTCCCTTAGACTGACTCATCCCCCCATTGTCACTGTCACACTTTGGCTCATGCATGTTAACACGTTCCTCTCTGATCTTCTTTCCCAGCTATTTTCTCAGGCCTTTTCCTCACTGCTAAAGCCCAAGTGCCTTGTCCTCACTGCGTTTGTACCGCAACATCGCGCCTGCTCCTTAGTTACCCCAAAGCAAAGAACAAAACCCACCTCTCTCAGCAGTGAGGGACAGGCCTCTGGGCTAGACTCACGAAGGGACTGAGGCGTTGTGATGCTGAGTGTCGCAGTGCCTAACTGTTAGGCACCTAGAAAGTCATAGGAACATCCCTGTGATCCACAAAGCAAACTTAGGTGCCTAGGCTCCCTATACAGTGACTTGGGAGAGATGGGCGCCTTAGAATGGCATCCGAAAAAGTCAGCCCGCTAGGCAAGGAGTCGTCTAAGTCAGTGGTCCCCAAACTTTTCAGGGTCATGCCCCCCTCCTTACTCCTGTCTGGGCCCCCCTCCTTACTCCTGTCTGGGCTGTGGCTCCTGGGGGGTGGGAGGGGGAACCAGCACGGGGTAAGGAAGCTGAGGCTGGGGCCGCAGCCAGGGAAAGGGTCTGCGTCAGGGGCTGGGAGCAGAGCTGTGGCCAGGGGGTGGGGCCATGGCTAGGTGGTGCTCCCTCCCTGCCCGCTGCGGGGTGGCCTGGGTCCAGCCACGCAGGGGGGCACGCCCCACAGTTTGGGGATCACTGGCCTAAGCTAACCAACGGGAGATGCCGACCACGGGGCTGTGTCCTAAACCCTGCCCATCTCATGGAGTTTGGTACCTAAGTCCCCGCTGCAGGGAGGTGCCTAGTGATCCAGGAATGGGAAACCCGCTCCTGCAGTCCGGCGGCTCAAGTGCCTAAGCTGTTCCTTGTGAGAAGGAGCTAGGCAGGTGCCACACACAACAGCCAGAGGAGAAGGGTGCCATCTTATCACTTTTAACCCAATGGTTACCACACTTGCTTGAGATGTCGGAGACCCCCCACTCAAACCCTTTCTCCGTCTCTCTCCGAGGCAGGAATTGAACCTGGGTCTCTCACATCCCAGGCAAGGGCTCTAACCATTGGGCTAGAAGTTGGATAGCAACACCGTGGCCTCCTTTTCCAGCCAGAGTTTGAATGGGACCCGATCCAGACAGCGGGCCTCTGAGCACACTTATTGGATTGTGCCCTGAAGGCAAGAGAGACATTCACCCGCCTCTCCCTTGTTCCTGAATCACTCTGGGGCTTACGCAGGAGCCAGATATCCAGCTGCCCAGAGGAAGGCAGCAGGGCTCATGCTTAGAAGCAGAAACTAAGGGTACGTCTATACTACCGGCCGGATCGGCAGGTAGTGTTCGATATATCGGGGATCGATTTATCGCGTCTTGTCTAGACGCGATAAATCGATCCCCAAATGGACGCCTGTACTCCACCTCGGCAGGAGGAGTAAGCGGAGTCGACGGGGGAGCCGTGGCAGTCGACTCGCTGCCGTGAAGACGGCCAGGGAAGTCAAACTAAGATACTTTGACTTCGCGTAGCTGAAGTTGCGTATCTTAGTTCAACCCCCCACCCCAGTGTAGCCCAGGCCTGGGGCTCCTTAGGGAAATTCTACCTTGAAAAAAAACAGGAGGTGGCCATGCCAGGTGGTTTGCCTACAATGAAAATATCCGATACAGCTTCAGAAACAAATACAGAGCATGTCTAGTAACTGCCGCCGCACCCTATTTCTGGATGCGTCTGAGCCAGATTAGCCCCATGCTCTGCACATGTGCCGAGACATATCACAATGTTTGATGTGAGCTGAAAATACTTTTGCTACGCCTGGCAGGGTGCGTCCTCACACTTTGGTGAACATCGCAGTCGTGGGCTCACTAATCTAACCATCATAGTGTAAGAAGGGTAACAGACTTGTAAGTGATATGTGGATCAATTGGCTCATTCCCATGGGACAAGAGTGCCCCCATTTTGTCTATGTTGCTTATAAAGGGGATCACGGTACAGTCAGGCCAACACACGCACAGCAGGATCTGCCATGACACTATCCGGCCTCCATTCTCCTGCTCATGAAAAACATCCTGTCTTTTGCAGGAGCGAGAGCACCTTGAATTTCAGCCTTAACCCATTTAATGAAATTCTGTCAGGCCAAAAGTGACACCTGTAAAATATCCTAATGGCTTTTCTACATAGCGCAACACTCAGGGAAGATGAGATGAGCGCCCCACTGCTTCGCTCCTTCTCTTTGGACTTGAAAAATCGAATGTGGGTTACACCTGGACGATACAAAATTTAAGAATGTTCAAGAGAGGTGAAAGGCCCGATAATTAATAGTATTTGGGGGAAGGACGCCTGCAATCTTCTGTGGTTGCCCTGAGTGCCACTGTCAAAATTAAGG